TTTGTGCTTCATCAATTCTGAGACCTTAATCCTCACAGAATGCATACAAAATTTTTTTCAAAAAAGGCGATTTAATGCCGTAATCGAAAAGGTGGCAGCTAATTTTGATATATTAGTCTTTATTAAGGTCTGATGAATTGATAGTGACCAATAAAATCGCGATATCGATTTCATACTTGGGTGTGTTCCCTTGTTAGCCAAGCAAAGTTTCATTTTTTATGATGTTAAAAGATAGATGGTCAAGCCGAAGTTTCGCATAATAACTCAAAATTTTGTTGCTTTGTTACCATAAGCTTAAGATGAGTTTAAATAATATTCCAACTATTATTATTAAATACTGGATAATATTTTTTGCTTATACGAATCTGAATGTTAACGGTTTAGCAAGAAATAAAGTAAAGATTATTAAACAGATGACGATTGATATTTAAATCACTTTATTTAATGTTGAAACATACAAGCAACCAGAAATAAAACGTAGCATTTAATTGAAACTCTAGCTCGTTTCGATAGATTCTCAATTACTGATAGAGAAAGTTTGCTAAAGCCAGAATTATGGTCAGTGATAAGGTAAACATAGAGGCGATAAACTGTGTATTTATGGTGAAAAGGTTCGCAAAAGTGAAGCCAACATCAGTGAATAAAACTCGTCCAATGAAAATCTCATTCTGTAAAAGAAATTGATGAAATGAAATTCAATCAGATTTTGTATCAATTACTGCAAAACGATGAAACAAGTTCTTACCTCATATTTCATGTCCAACTTTTTCATTTTGAATAAAGATTATCCAAACATTTTCGAGATAATAAATTTACTGAGACCAAATAAACAGTTAAATAGATCATAAATAGAGTGTCATTGATGGTGTGAAACATCCAATGAATATTCACTAACGATCGACCGCCAAATGCATCGACGATATTCATTATGTTATAACAAGCATATTGAACATAGAAAAAGGTAACCAAATAGCGAAAATAATTTTCCACTGATTTAGTGGCCTTAACTGCATAGCTATAATATCGACGGCAACATGTCAATGCTGCCAGGTTTGTTGGTTGATTATTTACCAATGAACTAACCTTTGAATTGACCAATTTAAATGCTGCTTGTAAATGGATACAAACATCAACAACCTCCCTGAGGATGAAGAAATATATAACTGGACTGATAATATGTATAATAAAATAAAAAACTTTCCTCCAAACAAGATAATTTTTATTTTCGATAAAACTGAACGAAAGAATAACAGATTGTAGAATCGGGTAAATTAAAAATGCGATATTTTTGTACAACTGTTTTCGAGTTATGAATCTTTTCAATTGATGATCTTGATGAACACCAATTGCATACAAATTGTCAAAATAAGAAGCAATTCCTTTACTTTTAACCAAAATTGAAACGAGGATGAAACGAGAAACCGGTACAATTATATTGAGTGCGGTTCTACACAAAGCATATACATCCAACTTTGAGTTTAACTCGAGCTTACATGCAGATGAATACACTGTGATATTAAATATCATGCTTAGTAATTCTGTCCAAAATAAGAATAATCGCTGATAAGTTCCAAAATATGATTTCTTGAGAAGACGATTCTCTTGGGCTGGTTCTACAGCGTTCATTATTTAATTTAAAGATTCACTAAAAGCACAAGAATGAAATCAAACAATCTGTTTTTACTTATTCAACTTTTATTGAAACACTAATGTTAAGCAAAACATAGACTGAATCTTAATCTATTTCAATGAATTTTGATTTCTTTATATGAGGGTGTCCCTTGATGTCATTAAAGTAATCAATTTTCAACCATTGCGTTCAATTTCAAGCTTTCAATTCTAAAAAAGAAAATTTTCTGTTCACCAGATAAATAAAATATCAGGTTATTCAAAAGTGACTTTTCAACCTTGTTCGACGATAACTTGGCTTTCTTTCGTAGCTTCAAAACAAGTCACTTTTGAATAACCTGGTATTATGTTTGAATTTACAAAAAAAATTAGACAGTTATAATTTCAATAAAAGAGTGAAAATTATTGCGTCTGCATAAGTTTACATTATAAAGTTCACAAAGTCATAGTTTTCATTCAATAACCATTTCCCTGGAAACTTACCTTAAATAACAAAGATATCAATTATATGGTCTAATAAATGATAGATGATAAGCTAAGACTTTTGTTATTACGAATATAGAACAATCTTTCTTTTCATTTCTAATCATATCAATCAAATGGATGAAATTCGCTAAAAATAAAATTCTTTATTTCTCGTTTCGTATTACTTTTTTGAATACTTTATTGAATTCAGTTCGATCAAACCATTGAATAAGTATAGCAATACAGATAATTTACATCAAAGTAAAGGAAATATAATTTTCACCAAGTTCTAGAAATATATCCAATGAATTACAAAATTTATATCATCTTTTCATTTTTGCTCATATCAATCAAATAAATGATGATTGAAAAATTGAAAAAAAGTTTACTCTTTGACGTTGACCAAATATTTTTATCGACTAAAATGAGTTTCAGGTTTCTAAATCTTGAGATTACTCGGAGTGCCAAGTTTAACCGAAAATCAATATGTTATGCAGAAAACAGAATTTATTATCATGATTGAGATACTAAAATTTGAACTAAAAATTGTACAAAAAGTCAGAGGAGTTTTAACTTGACCTCGATGCTCTTGAAAATTGTCGATTGTATAATAGAACGGCTGTTCAAGGTATCTCAACGAAAGAATATTTGTGCTGATTTGCGTTCAATCATGCATGATTATGAAAATTTTGACAGTTTCATAATATTTAAACTTTCAACAGCAAATTAAATAAAGATTATCAGCCCGAAAACGAATGATATTGAAATACTTTTATTTATTATGTTTACAGACAAATGACCAAAAATAAAACCTAGATACTCTGGGTCGTTGTAATAGAGTCAAATTTAATGATGGAGAAAGTTTGCTAAAGCCAGAATTATGGTCAGCGATAAGGTCAACATTGAGGTGATAAACTATGTATTTATGGTGAAAAAGTTCGCGAAAGTGAAGCCAACGTCAGTGAATAAAACTCGTCCAATGAAAATCTCATTCTGGTAAAGATATTGATGAAATGAAATTCAATCAGATTTTGTATCAATTACTGCAAAACGATGAAACAAGTTCTTACCTCATATTTCATGTCCAACCTTTTCATTTTGAATGAAAGCTCATACAGATTATCCAAACATTTTCGAGATAATAAATTGACTGAGACCAAATTAATAGTTAAATAGATCATAAATAGAGTATCATTGATGGTGTGAAACATCCAATGAATATTCATTGATGATCGACCGCCAAACGCATCGACGATATTCATTATGTTATAACAAGCATATTGAACATAGAAAAATGTAACAAAATAGCGAAAATAATTTTCAACTGATTCAGTTACCTTAACAGCATAACTGTAATAACGACGGAAACATATCAGTGACTCCAGATTGGTTGGTGGGTTCTTTACCAATGAATTAACCTTTGAATTGACCATTTTAAATGCTGCTTGTAAATTGATACAAACATCGACAATCTCTCTCAGGATAAGCAAATATATAGCTGGATAAATAAAAACCAGTATTGTATGAAGAGACTTTCTTATATCAATATTGATAAAATGCCAAACATTAAGAGTATATTGTAGGATTAAGAAAGTTGAAAATACGATATTCTTGTACAACTTGTCCAAAGTCCCTTTTGGACGACTCTAAAAATGTTTTCTTTACAGTCATTGATTTTAAACAATCATTCTTTTAATTCAAAGGCAATTAGAACCAATTCAGACCAAAAATCATTAAATCTTAATTCAAAATTTGCGATTTTGAACTCAATTTCTATCTTGATACATTAACCAACAGATGGCGCCACTGTATTAGTTTCCTTTTTTCGTATCTGCCATAGTTGTTTACTATATTTCCCGCATTTTTGTATAATTTATCTGTCAGTATTACTTTATTTTCTTATCGTATTATTCATTTATCCTAATTTTAATGTCTTCAATCAAGAATAACGGAGACCATACCTATTCGTGTATGCCTTTCTGTCAGCCCAACATCATCGAGGAGAAACGGATCTATCAAACTGATCCTGAAAGTGGTGAAATAAGTATAGTTGGTACTATTGGACGGATAGTTCATCCACAGACCGCAATTAAAAGAGCCAATATTTATTTAGTGAGTGGTTCAAAAAGTGAAAAGTATGATCTTCAAACGCTGATTTCTGAAGCCAAACAACTTAGAGAAAATTTTCTCACGGTGGCAAAAAATATGAAATTAAATCCACATTTTGCTTTTTAGCGAGGATTCGCATTTGCCCCTCCTGATTTGAAATGTACCTTTTGCGGCGAGATAGTAAAATTTCGAGAACCTACCGTTGGCAGAACCTATCTCAACATTTGGCACGCGTACACCCTGAGAAATTGTCGAATGGGGATGGTTTACAACCAGTTGATTTTGAAAAATGGAAAAATGCAGGAAAACAATGATTTTCTTTGAATTTAATAAAGAATTTTGCTGCTTAATTTATCGGTTTCATTCTTTGTTTACTTGTAACGGCGTCTGACAAATTTCAGCTTTTGATCTCATGAAAAGCTTTCTCTTGTTCTTCACTCCAAATAAAAGGGACATCTTTTCTAGTTAATTTAGTCAGTGGTGCAGCAATCTCAGAAAATTTTGGGATAAATTTTCGATAATAGCCAGCCATACCAATTAAGCTTCTTTTACACAACTACACTACTAGCTTCTAATACCGGTAACATCGCGAGGAGCTTCGAAATTTTTAACATCTTTGATCTTTTCTGGGTCAGTTTTCATTCCTGATTCATATAAACCATCCGGGGTTGTAAAAGCAGTCTTTTGGCAATCATCTGGATGTAGCGTTAATTGCTAATATCCTGAATTTAAATCAAGAGCAGTAAAATAAGAGCCCTCGTAATGACAAAATGCTATCAATATTTGGCAATGGGTAGACATCCTTTTTAGTAATTGCATTGACCTTCCGGAGGTCTACACACATCTCCCTACTTACTACCATCAGGTTTGGAAACTAGTACAATGGGAATAGCCCAAGTTGAGGCAGAGGGTCTGACGACTCCTTGTTATCTATTGTTATCTCCGACAGTTATCTTTGCACTTAAATGAAATTTAACAAAACAATCAACATGAAAATTTTTATTTTCAATAAACATCTTGGATCGAAAGATTTTACCTGAATAAAGAGAAATGAAAATGAGACTTATGATATACAGTTAACTAGTGAAGAATCATTGTATTAAAGCTGTACTTACATTGCTTGATGTCCGAATTCTCGTTGCAACGATGTAAAAAGCACAGGTAATTAATTCAACATCATTTGAGAGTCTCTATTGTTTTCTAAGTAACTTAAAATGTTTTCTAAACAAATTAAGACCCTATTCAACGGAACTGTACAGCATGTACTAGTGAAACGTCGAGCGTGATCAACCTTCTTCTTCTTTATAGAGAATTTCCTCGTTGGCATCACATTTGGTAGTATCACATAAACTATTTCGATCGATGTTGATCGTTATAAACACATTGCACAGTCACAATCGATAATTGAATCATCTTCACTCGACACTATTTCTCCTTCTTCCAAGGCAAATAAATCTTCTTGTTGATTGTCACTAACATTCACTTCCATTTGTTGTGAGTCATTTTTTGATGCATTATCAACAGTCAACGTTCGCAACATTAGCAAATCCGCTAGATGGTACTCATTTCGATGGTAAAAACTTGTAACGAGTAACATTTTTCCTAATTTCATCATCTTTTTCTCAAACATCAGTCTGGAGACTTCTGATATTTTTCAGTCTTGATTTCATTGTTTTTATTGTAATTTGCTTTGTCAATTTGATCCAATAAGCACAAGATTCAGGATGTCTGATCATGTAAGTACAGGGCATTTCAGCTAATTTTACCGTTGTATATTGGCTATATCTTTGCCACTGAGTGACCTTGAGGTAGGATATTTTGTTTATGGAAATTTGGGCGATACTCAATTGTCATATTTCAAGGGCTGGGTCATTCATTGCGTTAGAGGATTGCCCTCTTAGAAAATGACCTTTAAATATCAGTTAGAGGTGAAATAACTCAATGCCCTTGAATAACCTTGACCTTGAAATATGACAATTAAGTATCGCTTAATATTCCATAAACCAAATATCTAACTATAAGGCCAATCAGGGGCAAAGATATAGCCAATTTACAACGATTAACTGATTTTTTATTTTTTAGGCTTATGATGATGTTTCTGAGAATGATTTACGTGCGAATGTAATATTGGTTTCTCAAAGGTTAAGTTTACATATTTGCAGTGAAATGTTTCAATTATTGCTCCTGAAAACGTCTTTCGAGGGTGTGAGATGTATCTGAACCATGGATGTATTCAGTGACAGAAAGAAATTATTCAAGTATAGCACATTCCATGTTACCGAACACGTTTATTCACTTTACTTACATTTTCTAATATTTATTTCCTTGTTTTCATACCTAATTTCATAATTCAATTTATTCAAGATGCCTACTCGTTCACTTTGTGTTCCTCAAGGTAAAAATTCTTCTTATATTTAGTTTTATCCTATTAAACAAATTTACCAAAACTCTTTTTTCAATTTTCTCAATTTTTAGCTACCATCGAAGTACGCAACAGATACGGAACTAATCAGGAAATATTTATTGATACGACCGACGAGCACGCGAAACGCAAATTTCTTGATCAGGTAATATTAATATATCATAATTCTGTTCACATAACTAATTCCCTTTCGCTTTCCCTTCCAGGTAACATCCATTAGCTGGAATAACCAGATCAGATAGCTATACTTTCAAGATATGTATTCATCCAGATGATAACCCTTCTGGTAAAACGATCGATTTTGTAAGCACTGATGCAGGATATCTTGGATTAGATGATTTGCTAGAATAGAGAATGCTACAGGATGGGGCTTACTACTCAATAGTATTTTGGCGTGTCGCTGAAACTAATCCAAGAAAATTTATGTGTATTTAATGTATTTTTATGGTCTGCTAGTCATCCAGTTGAGTAGTTCCGAATCTAATTCATTGGCTCATCGAAACTCATTTGCAAATAAACATGTATTTCATTCTCTGCTAGTTATCCAAAAGACTAGTTCAAACTTGCAAATTCTGTGCAAACACATGAATTCACATGACATAAAATTTGTGTTAACAATCATTTTTATGTCTATTCAACTTATATTTAACCAAACCCCAGCCAGAGTTTAACGTTGCGGAGACTTCACGCAGTGTCTGAAGCAAATTTTAGCTGAATGAGTAGCCTCAGCAATCAAACATTCTGACAAATCTTTAGACAATTACCGTTTGTAATATTTGTTTAACGCAAAATCGGATGAACTTTATTCTATAAACACAATGCATTTGTGACTATTTGTGTAAATTGTTGCCATTAGGTACAAAAGTGATGTCTTTCGCTTCTGCATTTAGATCTAAGAGTTTGATATTCAGATAGCTGCAATAAATTGTATTATTTAGTGATACTGATGTTCTATAAAATTTTCACCGATTTCTAGCCAATAATTTCGTAATTATAAGTCTGATTCAATGAGCCGCGGTACGGTGGCGGTACTGTATACCAATCTAGAGATTATATGTGTTGCACAACGCTAATATTTTTTCTTCATAGCTTGAAAGACATGCAATATTATGTCGCGTTGTTTTCACATGTCGCGTACGACGGATTTTAAGAAGAATTTGAAAATTTGTGAAACTTGATTTGTCAAACTTATGATCCAGCTTGTGCTGCACGTAGGGAAGAAGAGAAGAAAGCGCCAGAAGCATGGGATAAGGCAAAATTACAGTCTGTGTGATTGTATTACTGTCGGAATATGACATAAGTGTAGGGAGTTGAAATAAATTGATTCAATATTAATGATATTATTTCAGGCAAACACAAAATTTTGCAATGTTTTTCTCTCTACCTCAGCATTTTCTCAGGTATGTAGTTAGCCTGAGGTGACAGTGATTTTCATAGCAACAACCAAACCTCAGCCAAGATTCACAACGATTTGCCAACGATTTTCATCATCTCTGAAACTGCTTCTCTTAATTCTGAAAGGGACCATGTATGTCTTTCAGGAGTAACAATTTGGAAATCGTCACTGTATATAAAAGTAGTGGTACCAGTAGCAGTGGTTGCGGTTTTCGTGTGATCATCACAATTGATTAGCTGCGCTATATCCTCACTGAAAAAAAGATTGTTTAATATAATTTACTATTTCTTAGTGCAAGTTTTATATCAGGTCAATACTCACACATAATCATAATTGTTGTTTTTCAAGACTGCAAAACCTTTTTCACTTTGAAAGTCAACCGGTATTTGAAGCCGAAATTGTAAAGCTGTTGCCAAATATTATCTTTTTCCGGAAAATTTCTAGGTTTACAGAGCCACTCAGGGAGTGCATCACCTCTTGTTTCATTCTCGGCTTCATCAACTTCGTCAGATGAACTCACGAGATCCAACGCAGATAGAGGGGATCTTTCAGATGCAAGGATTGGCGAGATTGAATCACGGAAAGCGGTGTTGATGCCGGGATAAGCAGTGGAATTCGCTATGATTGGTGTCATGTATCCCCTTGTAGTTGCAAGAGGAAACACAACATATCAGCTTCATTCTGGAA